AAGTCATGGTGTGCATAAAATTACATTTGAAAAGTCATGGTGTGCATAAAATATAACAATATAGTCTAAAAGTTTCAAGTACTCACGAATAATATTTTTAAATTATAACAAAATAGGTAACTTTAATCATTATTCTTGGTTATCTAATATGTAATTTTGTCTAAATTTGTACATAAAATAACATTAAAAAAACTGTGCTTAAATATTTTTTAGAATTTTTGGTTACTGAATTAACTTTTTGTGTATAACTTCACTTTAAATTTTTGATCCTTAGCTATAAACGTTGAGAATTTTATAAGTATTTAACAACAAAATAATTTTTAAATTATCAGTTTGATGAACTTTTTCACAATTTGAACTTTAAATGCTTAGAAGACAAAATCGCGCCTATGTATTTTTAATATTTTTCAATTACTATTTTAAAAATATACCAGGAGTCTTGAATTAAATTTTCACACTTTTTATCCCTTCAAATAAAATTTTATTGACATTTATAAAAAATAAAAACTACAAAAATTGGAAGTTGAAAATGTTCGTGAACAGCTCAAAACGAGTCAAAATATTTTGAAAATTTCATCAATTATAATTATTGATAAAATGAAAAAGATGATGTAAATGTAATGTATCTACAGTTATTTACTTGTTATGTATAGAAAATGATAATATATACATTTAGTGAAAGTTTCAGGTATCTTAACTTTTTGTTTGTTTTTTCCCGATGCTTTAGAAAACTACTGAGAATTTTAAATTTTGACCTCAGAATGCACCAACTAGATTTACTTTCCCACCGGAAGAGATACTGAAGTTGAAAATCGAAGCATTATTTAAACTACTTATCGTGTACACAGACACAAATAAAAAAAACACACACACACACACACACACACACACATCATTGTAAAATCAATACATTCATCCCTCCGCTCAGAATCTAAAACAATATTCAGATGAAATAAGTATTTCCCTTAACAATATATTGCGATAGATAAACCTAAACTGTAAGTAAATTATTTTTGTAGATCACATAATTTTATAAGCAACAGCTCGGAGCTTCAAAAACAATATAATATGTATAAGACATGACTTAGTTTAAAAATAAAATATATAATAACGATGAATCTTGAGGTTAGTATTATTTGAATTATTACAAATATGAACACAAAAATTATTATACCATAAATTGTACCGTTATCTACAGTGTTTTTATGTACGATATTTTTCGTAACGATATGGTGAACGTTGCGACATCGACGAACCGGCTAAGTACAATATGTATGTTATTATATTTTGAGGGTTCGTAGGTTAGGTGAGGTTAGGTTAGGTATACACATATGTGATATAGAATCGACTCTCAAAATGTTTCTATACTGAAAGCACTAAGTTTTAATGTTTAAACATCCGAAAAAAACCATACGAATAGTACCAGCGACTCATAACAGTTACCACCAGTACCGACATGGTACGGGTTAAAATAAATCTATCTTTCTATTGTTTTCTGTTTTGCTTCTGTTGAAATATTAAATAATATAATCTCTATATTTTAAAGATTAATCTTATGATTTTCCACTTCTTTACCCTGGACATATTAATTTTGATGTAAACACAAGAGACAGATTCAACAAATTCTTGAAAGCCAACTTGAATCCAATATCGTTAAAGTTGGTAGGTGTTAGCTTATGTAATCAGCTAACATCAAAAATACGTCCAAAATTAAGAAAGTAAATCATAAAAGCAACCACTCCAAATTTTTGTGAACTAAAAATTAAATTCATGTATGGGCTACTCCATAGCAACCCACAGGAATTGAACAAATAAATTGTAAACACCCTCAGAGCCTTAAAAAATCTATTGATATAGCTTTAATAGAAAACGGTCCTGTAGTTTTTGAGTGTATAGAGGACAAACAAACAAAGAAACATTCATTTTTATGCAGTAGACAAAATCTGGAACACATAAAAATTCAAAAACATAGTAGCATTTTAAAGAAGAAAAAAAACAGAAATCTCCGCGTCAAAAACAACTAAAAAATGAGCAGACAACACGGGGTTCACTAATCATATTCTAACCCCCTCTCCCCTATTCAATTTTTTTCCTTTAATAATTAATTTATCAAATTCAAATTTTTGTCATTTTTAAGTAAGATTATAATTTCAATATTATTTTTAATAATTCTATTTTTTTTTTTATACTACTTAGAAGTGTCCAGTTTTTTTAAAATATAACATCGTTTGTAAATTGTTAAGCAGGTATGATATTTTATCTAAATAAAAATTTGAAGGATTAATTTCTGCATTTTAGTATCAATTACTACCATTTTCAAATCAAAATCATATCTAACAAACATTTTATCAAGGACCTACCTACATATATAATTACATAAAAATAATAATAATATTTATTTACCAACAACAGAATGCTTAATACAATTGAGATAACATGGAATGTTAGTGTATTGTGTATATTTCAGGGTTGGTATACTCCTGAAACCTATTACTGTTCTCAAGAAAATAAACTAAAAATCAAATACAAACTAACAAACATTATCCTCATACTACAATATCAGTTAAAAAGCTATTTTTTCGAATTCCGATTTAGAAGGATAAATCAATCTAAGTATTCAAAAATATGATCCTCAAGTTAAGTTCCTCAAGTGTACAAAAAAATTTTAATTTCAATAAATTCATTGCTGAAGGTACAAAATCAGAGATGATCGAGTTTGGAGAATCATCCATATATGTACTTTTATACATATAATATTGGTATGCGCAGTATGTGTAAAAAATTAAACAATATATTATTATGATCGATAACCAACGCGATTGATCTACAAACCGTTCAGAATGCAAACGGTATCCGTGGCGTTGATCAATGAGTCCACATCACACGTGTGTCATCGAACAACTGACGTGCAAATCGTCTGCCATTAAAGCCGTCAGATAATTCGACCCTCCCCCCCCCCCATCAACCCCCAAATTGACCCATTGACACCCCCGGGGTTAGGGAAAACGCGTACACAGTCGCCGACTACCATTTTGGCTAAACGCCCAGGCATATACCGTTCCGCCTCGGCGAGTAAGTAGATAATGTTATTTTTGATGGTTTCGAAGTATGTGGGTGCGTTGCTCACTGCCTACCCGATGCCGACTGGCCCACACGGTTTTATTGGCACCTGTCCCGGACACTAAATGATCACCTCTCCGGGCAAAATAATAATATAATATAAACTGTGACGATGGATTTTTGACGACGAAACACAATAAAACGGTCAGTCGTCACTTGTCAACATGCAGAAGTAATACCTACACTATTACCCCGGGTGACCCATATTTAACGAAAGACACATTATTCCGCACGTTTGTAAATTGTCAGAAAACAAATTGTTTAGAAAAAATTACCTTTACCGTGTTTTACTGTTTTTTAATGACAATATTCCATGGCAGAATATTTCTTTGAGTGCTTCGGTGTATAAAATTCGAATTTTAAACGAGTAGTTTATTGGTTATGACAACATATTTAAACAGTTTATATGAGCGGAGTATTGGACCAACATTTTACAAGATACCCCTATATCCTTGTCCTGTCGCCACTCCACTGTATTAATCCAAACTTTAAATACTTAGAAGTTATAAGTTATAACTCATAAACAACTCTTCTGAAATTCGATTGTTATACATCGCAGAATTTCAAAAAATATTCTGCTACGGGATTTTAAATTTAAAATGTATGTTTTCAGTCAAAAGAGTAAAAAACCTTAAAAATATAATAAAATAATAACAAATATGATTTATATTTTTTTAAGTTTTTTTACACTTTTGGATGATACATAATAAAAATACAGGGAGATTGACGAAGCATCATACTTAAATCCGAATTTTTCTCTAATAATTAAATTATTCAAATTGTGATTTTTTAATTAATTAAGCACTCATACTTAAGGACCATTTTTTCCGATTGCAAGGAGTGCCACCAGTTCGGTGGCGATCACTGATCAGATTTTATTTTAATATAATTCTATTGCGTTATTCAAATATAATTATTGAACGATACTAGCACCCACATTAAATATTTTATTTTCTGAAACAGTTATTATGTCATACCTTATTACTTTACGCGACAACAATTTCACAAATGAAGACATTATAATATAGTAGAAAGTAATAAATTGTATTTTTTTTTAAAATGAATCTCAAACATATTTATATGAAAAAAAATTGTTGACAAACATAGTCGAACATTGTGTTATATATTTTATGTACTAAACTTTATTCTCTAAAAATAGATCGTTTTAAAAAGAATATAATATAAAAAAATTTTATATGCCCATAAATTGTGAAATACTCGATGGTTCTTGTTCCGAATTATTATTAGATCGACCATTGTGAAGATATTATTTGATTTCATAAAGTTGAAGACTTATTCTTACTGTAAATCTATATTGCTGGCCACTCAATAGAGTAGTTTAAAATTGTTCATAAATACAACCGTGAAGTATAGTTTTTTTCCTATAAAATCAGTTATCGATTATCATTCCGAGTCTATATCGGATTCGATGAATAGTTAACATTCCTCAATTATTGTCATTTTCTTCGTGAAAATTGTCAAGTTTAAGTGACATCCGTATTTCAACCAACCCTATTGTCTAATTAAAAGCCTCAATTACGTCTTTATTCTAAAGTTTCTTATATATTATATATATTACAGTCATTGAATTTGTATTGTTGCAATACGGTAAGTTCGCTACTAATCAACTAATCCTCAATGGGATACTGTAATTCAAAGTGAACAATACTTGATATTACTTTTGAGGGAAATTCTCGATAAATATGAAAATTTACTATTTTACCAAACCAATCATAACCATATAGTAGCTCATTGTTCGTAGGTAATTTGCATCTGTCTAGAAACATCGTTTCCATAGCCGCGTACGAAAAGAAAATTAATTGAAAAATAAAACTAATGATAATTGTATATTATATTTTAATATTAACCTAAATTGCTAGGTAATATTACAATAATCATCCGGAAACAACGACTGGTGAGGTCAAGGCGAATCATAGGAAATACAATTCATACACGTGACTTTCTCGTGCAGTTGTGATGTCAACACCGTCGTCGAAATACGTCTTTGCAGTAAGTACATTGGTTTTGCCCAAGTTTATTTTTTTGAAAAAAAAATAATGAAATCGTTAATTTTTTATTATAATTAATATCGTGTGGCATGAGCAGGTACTTTTTCTTTTCGTTAAATAATTCAGAGTAGGTGCCTACCTCTACTTTTTTTTTTAATGGCATTTAATAATATTACCAAATTTCTGGAATCTCGGGTTTTTTATTTGTATACAAAAATACAAGATATACGAAATGTATGTTTAATAAGATATCTTTTTATTAATTAATTCACATAGACATAGTGTTTTGTTTCGATAGCTAGATAGGTACCTACCACATTTAAATTATTTATATTCGTCATCAGTTTTAATAAAATATTCTATAAATCCTGTGGTATTAAAATTAAAATAAGTTTTAAAAAAACTAACTCGTAAAAACTTATGTTCGTGATTCCACAATAAGTACATTTATAATTTTAGTACAAAAGGTGTCTTGTCCAAGATTCACATTATAAACCTAATATGTTAAAAAGTGTTATTACACAAAATATGTATTGTTGAACCCAATGCCCACTGTTATATTATATTGCACAATAATACTTATAAATTATTCACAAAACAATATTATCTCATAAAATCTCTTATTATGACAGGTACCTAAACGTAAATTAACATTATACATTTATACAGAGTAATTCACCAAATACGCTCGCCTACACTTCTCTAAACATTTATTCAAATTTCGATTCTTGGAATTTTTAAGTATACTTAAGACCATATTATTTTCAAATGCTTATTTTTTTATACCGTTTAAGCAGTATCCTGTTTAGAATATCCAAACATAAAATATTCAAATGAGTAGTTTCTGAGTTATTAAAATGTATACTAATGATAAAAGGATGCTAGTCCTTAAAAATGATTTTACGAAAATATAAAATACAACATTATGTAATATTGAATGAATTGTAATAAATAGTACTACATTGTCTGAGACAATTTTTACGAATTATAAGATGTCGATGAATTAATATTTATAACTCCAATAGTCAAATCATCATAGATATCTTCCAAATCTATTAGATATTCAAAATGACCTAATATTCTTAAAATAAAATAAAATGATGCGAAAACAACTCTTTAGAATTTTTATTTCTATAAATCAACATTTTGAACAAAAGTCGTCTGCTTAATAATTCACATGGAAAAAGGATAATCTTTAAAACTTTATAAAATCAATGAAAATTACCATTGTTTAGTACAAAAATAAAAATATCAACGAACGTACTGGAAGAGATATATAAAAAGAATGTACATCCAGCACCTAAGACTTGTTTATGCCAAAATAAATATAAAAATAAAATGTACATGATTTATTTAGATATTTAGTCAAATATAATAGATAATTTATGGAAAATTAAACTTCAAAGTTTAAAACTGTTATGAATGCTATATAATAGTATAATATAATACGTTGTTATATTATAATGTAAATTCACATGAAATTAAATCTTAAAGAACTTACTAAAGGTCAGGTTTCGCATGATAACATTTAAAACATTATTGTATTAATCATATCATGTTATAAACGTAAAACGAATAATACACACTTTTAGTAATTATATCCGTTCGAACCACCTCGACATTGAGTGACATTTCGAGGTTCCTATATATCACACACAAGTTTTAGACATCAATCGATCTTGTATTAAAGTTGTCTATAAAAAAAATTTACAATCAAATTAATGAACCGACGTACGCACTGTTTTTGGGGACAGATTTTTTTTCAAAATCTCTTTACACGATTAATGGATTTCAATTTCAACTACACACACACAGAAAAGCAACAGTGTACAAGTATAATACATTACTAAGAGGAATTTTATACCATATGTCTAGTTGAGGACAAAACGTTTGCTAGCTACGCGTATTGAGTAATGGAAACAGTTTTATACACAAAAAAAATGTATAAAAGTTTAAAATTAAAACTGTTTATGTATATAGAGCCTTCATTAAGTATGCTCACCACCATTTTTTCCTTAAATAATAAATTTATTTAAATTCTGATTTTTGGAACTTTTGAATATACGATAGTTTAAAGAATAGTTTTTCAAATTCTTAAATTATTTTTTGTACTTCTTAAAGAATGCTTCGTGGCTATACGGTGACTTCTGTTTTTCAAATTAGGACGTCCCCTCCCTTTTTTTTTACTGTGAATTATTTAGAGGATAGTTTTTTGAAAATGTTGTTGTACCTAATTCAGAATTCGAATTCGTAGTTTCTTTATTGCTAAAATATGTGTACTACGAATAATAGTCCTTAAAAATGGTTTAGAACTAGTGTTTATTATATTTGGACAATTTTCACAAATTATTAATGTTGATTTTCAAAGTTTTCAGATCCATATAACCTCCATATCTTATTAACCCATGACCGTGGACTTTTTTCCTTAGAACACAAAGTTAATAAATCAAAAGGCAAAAGCTACAAGTACGAATTTTGATTCTGGCACGTCAAATTTCTCAGCAAAATTATAAACTAAATAATTTACAATTGAAAAGAGGGGTTTTGTTTGAGAAATAGTAGTCTTATACGACCACAAGGCACTCTTTAAGTAGTACAAAGAATATCAAGAATTGGAAATACGGTCTTTAAGTATATTTAAAAATTCCAAAAACTAGATTTTAAATAACTGCATCGTGGAAAAAAAAGGGGTGAGCATGCTTGGTGAATCACCCTGTATACAAAGTACACAAATGCTGCAATTCGTACCTGTACATCGATTAACTTATATCTTATTTTCGAGCACTAATATTAAGTGTATTCATTTTGTGATTTCTTAAGATGAAAGATAATAATATAATACCGAATTAGACATTATTTTTGATAATTACTGATAATTATTTTTCATGCGGATGTACATGGGTACATGTCGTCTAAATTATAATAGGCATTGAGGGTTTATGAAGACGTAACGTAAAATTGCTGCAGTTGAGGAAATCAACACAGCAATAGTGTAATTCCGAGTAGGTATTTTTATATTGACTCAGTGAAATGACGTAGTAAAAGCAGAAAAAGAAAATAACAACTACCTATTATTATACAGTTACAACACTATAATACCTGCGTAGAGGACTAGAGAAGAAAAAAAAAAATATTATTGTCGCACAAAACATAATACTATATACTGAACGGTGTACCTACCCGCAGTTCATCCGAGAGAAAATAAATCGCATTGAAACGACGGTAGGTATCACTCGGCCGCACTGTTACGATTATTATTTTCTTACTCATATGGGTAATAATATTTTATATTGTCATTTTTGTTACGTCATTGATTGGACACATACCGTGGTAGTGGTATATAATAAGAGTCTCCCGTGATTGTGATTGAGAGTATTGTCCGCACAAGAGCCGTGTTTGGTGGCGCCCGTGTGCCGAAAATTTGCAAGAGCCCCCTTGTATACACCCCCCCCCCCCATACACGGGTGGTATGGCCAGAGGAAACCCAACCACCAAATCGGAAAAGACGACTCTGTATCGGAGTCAGCGGAGTAGCGAGGATATTATCTGAAAAGAGGGAAGGAGCCAATAAAAAACCTTATAAATATTAAATTATATATTATTTATGATAAAGATAACTTCTATGGGTAATATTATTGCAATATGACCTTGTCATAATATTAAATACGTCTTACTGAAATTAATAACTTTTTCTTTATATTAATTTATTACAGACAACTTTTATCTCAATAAATTACTTATAATTGTGTCCAATCTTGTTCAATCTTAAACTTAAAAAAAGCGGTCAATATTTATTTTTCTTTATTGTTATTATATATTAGGCAAAAATCTTATGTTGGATATCTCGATATTGGAGAGGAGTATGTCCCCTTTGCTCTCCACCGTCACTCCAGGCGGAAATGATTCATATTATTATTCTCATAACACTTTTTGTTCTTACCTCGCCAAAACCGTCGTCGGATTAAAATGCTTAAGCATCGTACTTCGTGTAGGTATAGGTAACCAAGCAGTGGTTACAACCATTTGTTCTCTCATAGCTGAGTACTGATTACCACACGACAAATTTTTTTTTCCATAAATATTATAATAATATTATTGTTACCTAGTTAATATGAGCGCCCTACTGCATGCTACCAAGCTGAGGGGCCCACGTCAAATGCTTCCCTTTTGTCATCCCTCCTCAAGTTTTTTTTTATATTTCGCGTTTATAAAATTTTGTTTTGCTTTATGTAAATCGTAATGGATTTCATTATCTCGAGCACGGTTTACTGGCATTATGGTTTAATAATGCGTCGAATGACGACATTTTTTTTCTTTGTAATTTCACGAATTTAATTACAGTCTTTATTTAAATATTCTATGCAAAATTGAAATGCATTTAAATTTGTCTACACCAGCCTACACTAGCTATAGGACACACTGCGGGAATACGTTTAAGGCCAATGTTTTTTTCAACCATATAATTCGTATAAGTTATTCATTAATAATTTACCCAAACGTAAATATTCTATAAACATATTACAAACAAGAAGTTAGAACTATTGAATATAGCAAGTAATTGTGGTGGTTTATTATTTAATTATTCATTTTGGTATTTAACTTGAAATAAGCAAAAGAAAAAAAAAAAGAAACAAAAATTACTATTTTTATAGTTTCTATAAAAAAATATATTTATACTTGTCTTATAAATCATAATATTTTTATAATTTATTACTTTTTGTTGATTATGAAAATATTTGGATTCATCACTAATTGTTTTTAGTTTTAGGTCTGATTGAGAGCAAAATTTGAAACGTATGGGGGGGTGCGTTTGTTAACTTTCTTTGAAAAATATTTTAGAAAGTTAGAATTTTGTTAGATAATGTTTGATATATCCAAATTACCTCAAGTATCCATTTCACAATAATTTTTTTTTCTTTAAGCTTTTATTAGTCATTCTAAGAATGTTTAACTTGAGCTTCGATGACCTTGAATTTTCTCCCAATTCTTATTAATGTTATA